TTTATTATGCAGCACAGATAACTGAAGGAGAGACAAAGAAAGAAGCCACAGCTAGGTGTGCCCATGAGGACAGGCACTGTGAACAGTAGCTTATAGCCAACTGCAATAAACATTTTCCAAAGATGCAGAGAGATATTAATCTCTCTTCCATCTTTTTGGCCTGACCCTAGGATTTAATCACTGGGTGATGGCTCTCTGAATACTTGGGATTTGTAGATATTTTCTCAGTGGATACAAGTGTTTCTGGGATGTGTACTGTTGTAAACTGGAGTACAGCAACATTTTTCTCCATACAGCTAGATAGTAAATAGTTTTGACTTGGTGAGTGATCGCAGTGGCCAAGTTGACCCAGACCACATGTAAATGAAAGGCACGGCTGCAAGCAATAAACTTTACTAACAGGGATAAGTGGTGTGTTGAATGTGACCTGCAGCTTGTAGTTTGCTGATCCCTGTTCTAAACAGTTACTTTGTATAGTCACTAGAAACGGTAAATGTTGCTGACTCTTCGCTATTGAATTTCCTTACCCTCCAGCTCTAATTCTTTCAGCAAGCTCTTCCTCTCCTACGTAGGTTTCTCTCCCATAGTTTGAAGTGTGCCCTTTTGTAGTTCTCTTCTCTTTTCACACATGCTTCCTTAGCAGTGCCAAGTCACTCAAATGATTTCATTTACTATTAAATGGCCAACGACCTAGCAACTTGCATTTCTAGCCGGTCCTCTCTCATTCTCATTCCTCGACACCTTCATTCAGTATTTATCCAGAACTTTAGGCTCCATATTTCCCCTTGTGCATCTTGACAGCACCCAGGTTCAATATGCTCTCTTATGATCCTGTTTTCTCTTTACTCCACACCCACTTTCCTATGGTCAGCCGACACTAGGGCTGGCTCTCTACAATCCCGCCAGTCTCTGTCTTCAGGGGAACTGAAGAGACTGTCATGCTTCCTCCCTCCCGTCTGCCTTCAGGTTACTCTGGTCTTCTGCGAGCATCTCTGCAGAAAAGCCATCTCCGGTACAGGAGCACACATTGCTTCTGAATCTAGTTTCCCCCGAAGCTACAGAATTCCTCCAAGACCACTGAACTCATCACTCCACTCTACCAGTGGGTGAGTGTATTATCCTCAAAGGTCTGTGGCCCAGCCCTTCTGGAATGTTTCTTTGACTTCAGAGATCCAGCAGTGGCAGGGCAGCACCTTCCAAATTCAGATGGCTGAATTTGAGCTCGACAGGTTTGGATCCAAATTTCCCAAGAGTTAGTCACTCCAACCTCTTCTCTTGGATCCTCAGCTTGATAGAATGGTACTGATTTTCTTTATTTTTCTCTTTCTCCTTTTCATCTTCTTATTCATCAACTCCATAGTTTCTCATTTAAAAAAAATTACAGTTACCCCCTTTTCTCTCTCCCACCATGCCCCCCTGTACACATGCATGTGCCATAACATATGTGAGGAGGTCTTATAGGATGACTTATAGGAGTCATATAGGTCTTATAAGGATGACTTATAGGAGTCAGATCTCTCTTTCCAGCATGTAGCTGCCTGGAATTGAAATGCTGTTGGTCTGGGCAGCAACTGCAATTATCTCCTACATTAAATTCTCATTCAGCTATCTAGTGTGGCTTTTTTCCTCCTGGCTTCAATCTAAAGCTGTTTATATTCTTAGCCAAAAGCCATCCCATCCCTGCATCTTTATTATTATTATTATTAATTTTTTGGTAAGTGGCAAAATGGCAGAAGGCCTCTCTATAACCCCTGCCTCATCGCTCAAGCAAATATCTTGATACCATCCTTTATTTTTCTTTATGTGTAAGTGTTTTGCCTGCATATATGCATGGTGTAGTGGTTTGAATAAGAATGACCCTCATAAACTCAAATATTTGAATATTTGGTACCCAGCTGGTGAATTTTTTTGGGAAGGATTAGGAGATATATCTTTGGGGGAGGAGGTGTGCCATTGGAATTTATTAATCCAGGTTCTCCAGAGTAACAGAACTTATGGAATGAACATATCTCTCTCCATATGTTGTATATATATATACACACATACATATGTACATAACACACACATATATATGTAAAGGGATTTATTAGAATGGTTTACAGTCTGTGGTCCAGCTAATTCAACAATGGGTGGCTATGATTGGAAAGCCCAAAATCCAGTATTTTCTCAGTCCACAAGTCTGTATGTTTCATCTGGTCTCGGTATATGCCAGAATCACAGAGAAGTAGGCTCGAACGCTAGTAAAGGAATGGACTTGCTAGCAGGGTGAGAGCAAGCAGGCAAAGTGCAAAACTTTTCTTTTTCCATATTCTTATATAGGCTTCTAGTAGAAGGCATCGCCCAGATTAGATACGAATTAAACATCTGTATTAAAGTTGAGTCTTCCTACCTCGAAGCTCTGAACTAATAGTAGATCTTCCCATTTACATTAAGCAGAAATTCATCGTAAGTGAGGTGTTACAGTTGGGTTATAGTCAATTCCAGATGTAGTCAAGTTGACAACCAAGAATAGCCATCACACTAAGGGCAGACTTTGAGGTTTCAAAAGGCTGGTGCCATTTGGAGTATGCTCTCTCTGCTCTTTGGTTGTGGATCAAGATGTGAGCTCTCAGTCGCTGCTCTAGCTCATGCTTGCCTGTTTGCTGCCATGTTTCTTTCCCTGGTGGTGATGGATTCTTGTCCATCTGCAAGCATAAGCCTAAATAATGTTTTTCTGTAAGGTGCGGAGGTAGTTTGAGTGAGAATGATCCTATATAGGTTCATGTGCTTGAATGCTTGGTCCCCAGTTAGTGGAACTGTTTGGAAACAATTAGGAGGTGTGGCCTTGTTGGAGGAGCTGTGTCACTGGGGTTTCACTCTGTGGTTTCAAAAGCCCAGGACAGGCTCAGAAACTCTCTGGTCACCTTCAGATCAGCACCATGCCTGCCTGCCTGCCTGCCACCACACTTTCTGCTCTGATGGTCATAGACTAGCATGAAACTGTAAGCAATCCCCAATTAAATACTTTCTCTTATAAGTTTCCTTGGTCGTGGTGTTTCATCATAGCATTGGAAAAGTTAACTAATATACACAATGATTTCTTTGTCTTCTTGGTACATGTTTTTCACTCTGTTTGCATAAGTTTCCCTGTGTGTGTGTGTGTGTGTGTGTGTGTGTGTGTGTGTGTGTGTGTGT